TCATCTAAATTCAAATGAGTTTGAGACTATCTACAATACTATATTTGCAAATAGAAAATTTATTTGCCATCACTTATCTATTATAATATAGTTTATCTTCCAAAATAAATGCTCCGAAATAATTAAAATTCTATCTTATTTTAATAAATATTATGTTTAAACAAAAGGCAGTCTCATTAGTCAGCACTGCCTAGAATATTTAATTAAAGGGAATTATATTAATTCTTAATTCTATTTAATCTTGTTTCATTATTCCATGACGGCTTTTCCCGTAAAATGCCTCAATCCAGTATAATCTACAGTTATTTTTCCCTTATCTAAACATCACTCGGAGTCTATCAACTCGTAAAGTCAAGTAATTAAATAATACTAAAATAATCAATCCCTAAAATCAAGGAAACCTACCCTTCTTTTTCTCCAAAATCAAAGCAAATAATTATTAAAATAAACTTATTTCTTTTTTATTCATAACTATTTCTATACGCACACACCATACAAAATCAAGACAATTCCATGTACACATGTCAACATCACATCTTCCTTCCAAGTTTTAATTGAATTTGAAAACCAATTTCTTCAAATCGAAATTTCTTGATGCTGGGTCATCCAAATCGACTATTTCTCGAGCCTAAAATTCATAATTAAATACTGGCTATCCAACGAGTATAATATTAATATACTTATTTTTACTCTATCGAAATTTAATTTTGACTCAAAGTATAAGAATTTAAAATATATTACCTCTTAGTCCCTCAACTTTTGAAATAATATAATATAGATATTAAATAAATTTTTATCAAAAATTTTGGGATGTTACAATTTAGGGTCAAATTCCATAATTTAAGGGTCTGTTTTAACATTTATTTATTTATTTGTTGTTTTGAGTCAATTTAAGTGTACTTTCAGCATTTTAACTATTTTTAAGTTTTATTTAGATTTGTCTGCCGAATTAAGATTTCACTATGATTAAGATTCATTTTGACTCTTTAAATATTTGTTAAGGGTTTGAAAACCCTACGGACAATTTTTTGATAAATTATATTTCACTTTTCTCATTATTTGGTAGATTTCAATATCTCTCACGTTCATTCGACAGAAATTTGATCAATATTCGTTCTATGTTACGAACAAGACCCTTTTATTGTTATTCATGTTTCTTTCATACGTCATAACATGGAACTCGAATTAAATATTTGATTAACATATGGCATGTTGATGAATATATTTGTATAATGTATTTAGATTTGTTAATAGTTGAAGATGAAAACAAAGAAGCCTGACAGATAAAAGAAAAGGTTGGCAACCACAAGAGGCCTAATCATCGGATTAGTGTGTGGGTTCGGTCATCTCGATTATAAATCATACTAAATTACACTTATAAAGAATTAAAGCCTTCCGACATTTAAGAAACCCTCTTTTCCAGCTACACAATGAGCAATAGTTCGACCAATTATTTGGTTTCATGATCTTTTGCTCTATACGAGAAGATCCTTTTACCATCACCTGATCCAAAGGGTTCACACAAACTCTAGGATGGTCGAATTGAGTGCTCCTTGCAGTTGGAGAGGTCTTTTTACTTTATGTTTGAGATAAGAGTACATGTTGAATATAAAAATTTAAATAAATAAAGTTGCCTCTCATCTAACATTTTAAGTTCTTAAATGGGTAGCTTAAAAATGATGTCGTAGCAAGTGACTGCCTTGAGCTCCAGCCTTATTGCCATCTAAACAAAAAATCATAGACATATTAGCCAGGACGTGAAGAAAATATTAGATAAAAGATTTTAAATAAATTAAAAAAAAAATCTAAGTGGCCCAACTCCATACAAAGAAGTCTAAGTGAAATTGGATACCAAGTCAAGGATCTATTTGGAGGAAGGACGGTTTTAATATGTCACTCAATGAATTTTTATGAGTGAGCTACTCAAAACCGTTGGATGTGATTTGAATCAATGTTCGGGATTGAGGGTATTTTCTACCACTCGCTGCCCTAATTTGTCATTATGTTCAAATCATCATCTCTCTCTACGCTCCTATTTTTCTCTTTAGTTATTTGCTTTAGTATTCTCCTTTTGTGTTTACGATTTCTCCATTCTTATGTGAGTGATTCAAAGAGATAGTTGGAACATGTGGCTTCTTGTGTGGTCCAATTACTATAGCAAGAGATTTGGGTTCGACTTATGAATGTTTTTTGTGAGACAAGGGTCTAAAATTTCTCTTTACCCTAGTTATTACTAATGCTTGATAAGTGTACTTTATGTGTTTATCTAGACTTTTATTCTTATTTATTGGTAGATTGATCGAATGTCTACTTAATTTAAGTTTAAATTAACTGATTTAAAAACATTTGGATGAAATTGGAGTGAAATATGTGAAATTAGAGCATAATTGAAGTTATTTCAAAGTAATTAAAGACTATCCGAGTTGCAATCAATCAATAGGAAGTATTAAGGGGTAATCTGAGGAAATTCATATGATAAGAGATTTAAATTCGACAATTGAAAATTTTATTTGAGGACTAAATTGAAAATTTTGAAGACTTTCAAGGGATCGATAATAATGATTTTGGAATGTATTGGACGAAATTTTGTGGAATTGAAGATGAAGGAATAAAGATGAAATAAAAAAGGATTCAAGCTGAATGAACACAAAGAGTTGGGGACCAAAATTGAACGTGACTAAAAAAGTTGGGCCTGGATTGCAACCCTTGACAGCAAATGCCGAACGGACCTTGATGCAATCATATGGACCTTTTCCGGGTTTTGCAATGGGCCACATTTTTACCCAATTTTTTTAGTCTATAAATACGTGTCTTACTTCAACAATTAGAAGAGCCTTTTGGGATACAAGATTCACAATAATTACAAGGAAAAGAGAGCCCAAAAAACAAGAAAAACTCAAAGAATCAATCAGGAAGCTATGTTTTCAAGGTTTTTCAAGAAAAAATTTAATTCTTGGTACAAAATCTTCACATTTTTTATGTTTTTCCCTGAAATTCGGTGATGTAATCTAATTATTTCTTTTACTTTTATTCTTCAAAAATATGTAGTTAAACAATTAATTAGGACAAACAGTGTAACATAGTTTAGACTTTAATCTTAATTTTGAAATTTTAATTTTCAATTGATGCTTGTGTTGACTTTATCTTTAACGTTTAGAACATAACAAACAAGTTAATATTATTTTCTAACAATTGATTTTAAATGATAATAGTTTTTAAAGCATCATTGTTAAAATATAATGCACCAATTTATCTTACATTTACTGAATTTTGAATCACTACATTGTCATTATCATATGTTGAACATATAATATAGTAATATACATTACAATGAGAGTAGCTTTTTATGACATTCATTTACAGCATGCATTTTAGGTATGTTGTGAAAGGTCTCTTTTTGGGCCGTACCGTAAATATGTGCTGTAATAATTCAATTACTTAAAGTATTTACGGCATATATTTAAGGCACGCCGTAATAATCGAAACCCAAAACAAAAGAAATATTCAATTCTTCAGAAGTGGGATTTCTTCATAGAAGAAAATAAATGTTCAAAAAAGCAGGTTTTTTCCTCCCACATTTGTCCTCCAGAGTCCAAGCCCAGATAATGGAAAATTAAAACCCATACCAGCCCAAACCCTTCCCCATTCCCCCAATTGTTCCTGTGACTCTCAATTCAACCAAGCCGCAGGCGATTCGTTCAAGTTTTCAGCCGTTGGAATTCTTAATTTTTGCAGTGAAGGCATGGCTTAGTCGTGAATTTTCAGAAGTCATTTTGGTGAGATTTGTTGCGTTTTTGTGAAAATTCAGATCAAATTTTTAATGCCAAGTGATTTGCTGTGTGCAATTTAGAAGATAAACATTGCCTTCCAGAAAGAGAAGGCCATGTATGTGCCCTCTAGAACTTCTTATGGTATCATTTTTTTTTTTTTTTTGTTAAAATAAATGCACCCTTAATTTATTCCACTACAATTCAATAGAGCCTGAAGGTCGATGGGTAAAAGAGAATTTGTACAACGACATTATCTAAGGTTAACATTCAATGACATTATCCAAGTGATTTCACTCAGCCCATTGAACCTGGTGTTGAGGTTGAGGTTACCATTGCTGATTTTTAGACTTGACTTGCCTTGTCTCGGATGTATTTCTATCTTTTGTTAGCGGCAAATTCTGTGCTTGATGAACTTGCATTTCAACCGTAGATGGGTATTGTAATAATGTTATGATAGGAGTTCTGCTATACAGATTTGGATTCGAATGGGAACTTGGTTATTTAATGTTTATTCGTTAGACCGATTAATGCATATTACTTTCTAAATGATCTAATAATTGAACTGTAGCATTATTTTATATCAGAATGATCATTGGCAGGAATGAGAGAATACATTAATGATATTTGATATGTTAAAGAGTGGACATATTAAACAAGCTTTTTGTATTCTTAATTCTCTCATTCCTGCCAATGATCAATAGCACGAGTCTTTGATTGTGCCTAAACATAGGGTAAACTTGGTTTTAAGGTACTTATTTTCCGTTCAAACTCGCTTTTATTTAGAAGCAAAGTTACTATCTATGACCCTAAGCGTTTAAGCATGGCCAAAGGAAATGGTTTTTAATTTTATTACATGAAGATTTATCGAAGGAATTGTGTAATTTCTTGTTAATATGCAGAATTAAACATTTCTTTGTGCTTTTTAAGTATTTGCACTTGAATCTTTATTGATATATTATAATTTTTTTCTTCTGTTTTACGCTTTTTTTTTTTTTTTTTAAAATATCTTTCACTACAACAAAGATTTTGCAGGATGTTGTTGATTTTTCAAGCGGTTTAAAGTTACGTGAGTATTAAATTCACACGTTTAGTTCTCATCTCTGTGTTCATTCAAATTATTATATAATTACAAATAATGACGAAATTCATTTTGTTTCCTACTAGAACGAGCGTATACTAAATTTAATTTCTTAACCAAGTTCTCAATTACTTTTTCAACAGATTGCAGTGGTGTTGAGGAGGTTCTAACTGTTCCAATTTCACCTATTTTATTTCAGGTTAAAATTTATTTTTTGCAATTTTAGTGTGTGAAACTTTATTATTAAAATGGCTTACCTAATTGGAACCTAATTTCTATGATGTCCTAATATAATCGTATTTCACTTCATTTTTACCGTGCTTTAATAGATTATAACTCAATAGTGTTGGTATATATTATCATGAATAAAGATTGGGTACGCTAATCAAGGTTATCTTGTTCTCTTAAATTTAGAGTATTTAAAATATTTCCATATATGCCTTTTAGATGATTTATTTAGCATAATTTGTATAGAGTTTCAAGGCGTATCAACATGGTGCAGGAAAATTTGTATATATGGTGCAAGCCAATGGGGGGAATCCAGGAAAAGTCATATGCCCTTGCAAATGTTGCAAAAACCTATTCCACTAACATTTTGATATAATGTATGAGCATCTAATTAGTAATGGCATGAATCTTACATATACTACCTGGGTGTTTCATGGGGAAAAATCGAATGTAGCATCATCGCCTCCTCAAGATGTAGAAAATTTAGAGACTTATAGGATGTATAGAAATGCATTTTTTTCAAGATCACAATATTGTGGAACTAGAAAATGAAGATAAAGAGAAAGAATTTTCAAATTTATATGACAGTGTGCCTTAAAAAAGACATATTCTTTGTTTAATGGTATCCATAACCTAAAAGATGTTTACCTCAAAATAATACTCTTATATGTTACAAATTGTGTGTGATTTCCAAAGAGAGCAATAACACAATTTACTTTTCAATAGACTATCATGTGATTAAAGAGAAACTAAGATTGATAAAAATCATCTATGAAGACTATATTTGTTGAAATCTATATCAAGAGAACACAAAACATGTTTTTACCAAAATAATATTTGAATATATTGATGTATAAGACATGGATGACTCGATACAAGAATATTCATTTATTGAAATCGGGGGAGCAATTGTACACTTTTTTCTTAGCTCAAGTTTGTCCCATTGTAATATGTCATTCAAGGGGGAGTATTGCAAATTATATATTTATTAATAAATGACCATTATACCCCTACAACCCTTGTTATTATGACTGTTGTATCCCTTGCGATCCTAAATTCCTTTTTATAAATGCTTTGATTCTCAATGAAATACATGTCGTTGATATCACATATGCAAGCTTAATCATCAAAATACGCATGCATTTGTGTTAAAATTGTGTAAAAATTAGCCTAGTAATTAAGTTCGGCTCATTTTTATAACTAAAAAAAAGGCAAATTGAGCCCAACAAACATTAAATTAGTCCAAATCACCCAAACCCATGAATTATATACAACAATTTATAGGGTTTTGGCATTTAGAAAAATAAAAAATCAAAATAAATGTTTCGTAAAGTTGTAAACTATTCATATCGAGATTGTGCCTCATTCTTCTTTGGCCTTCTTTTATTTTTACTAGCAAGTGATAATAGTAATTTATAATTTTAGATTGTTGATGGCTATGATGATTAGTGGGAGGTTGACAATGATATTTTACCATTTACAAGGGGTAATAAAAATTTTCCAATTGAAATAGGGGAGCTCAATAAGATGATTTTGCATCGAATGACACGGAAGATGACATGGATGAGGAAGAGGAAATTGAATTAGAATTCAATAAAGAGGTAGACAAGATTTATGATTTTTTGAGTCGGTGTTCGTGTCTAAACTATTTGTAGGAACTAATTATCAAATAATTACAGTATTTATGATTTTAAGCAATATATTTTTATTGAGATTTTGGAAAAATATGTATAAAGTTTAAGTAATTGTAGTATTTATGATTTTGAACAATATATATTTTTATATTTGAAATATATATATAAAGCTCAAATAATGAAGTATTTTATGTATTTATTATGTTAAATTACTTTTAAAATAATATTAAAAATCGAAATATGTATAATTACACATTTTGTATAGGCAGCATATCCTTGTAATGTTTATTACTTGATTGAAATGTATTATCATGCATTGCGCATTTAGAATCTTGGGTAGGATTAAGGGAGTGTGGTTGGTAGGATTACATGGGCGATAAAAGCAGCGAGAGCAAGCAAGGTAAGGATTGGGAAAGGTTGTAATGTTTTTATTTTTCTTTAGTAATTTGTTTGATAAAGCTTTGATAAAATTTATCAGCATAAGCAATCATATTTTAATTTTAAACAAGTATTTCATGAAATTCATATTTTCTTTTTATCAATTTTTTAACCAAGTATTATATCAAAATATATCCCCCCTTTGATGATCATTATTTTGCCAAAAGAACATTTTGAATAGTGGTTTTTATTATGTGAATGTGATTAAAAATAAATATGTAGAAAAAAAGTTTTTGAATAATGATTGTCCAATAGGGGCTTAATCAAAATCTACTTTCTTTTCATTTTTATTTTTTTTTTTAATATCAAAAGCTTTGTAAAAAAGGGGGGAAAACAAAAAGAAGAAACCCTTAACAGGGTGGACAACGCCACGGACAATTTACGATTTTCCTTTTTTCTTTATTTTTTATTGAAATTAAGTCCCTATTTGGTTTAGCCAAATTTAAATTTTTAGTAGATTTTGATATAAGTTGGTGAAAAGTGTTGTTGGAAAGTTATTAAACATTATGAATGCCATAAACTAAATAATTAAAATTACTTGTTGATTTTATATTAAATTTTTATCAACTTTAACTTAACCAAATGAGTAATGTTATTCATATTCAACGTCTACGGTCATCATCCTTATGTAACAGTTTGTTATTTGAAATATCAGCTTATTATTTGAAACAACAAGATTATAGAAATTTAATGCCTCATATTACATGCTGTCACATAGGATAGTTACTGTAGTTGTTGACTATGAATTGCATTATTCGGTTTGAATAGGAGATAAGTATTTAACCATTTCTTCTATTAAAAAATAGTGTAGAATATAGATTTTAACTTGCACACTTAATAAAAAAGTGAGTGCCATCACAATGCAAATTTAGAAGAAACCAAATCAAATCAAACCAAACCATTGGTCTTGGTCCGGGTCAAGACCTCACATGGTAGGATTAAAATCTAAAGAGTAAATCACACCAACTATGATTCTTATAGACCCAGTCAAATAATAATGACCATAATTTCCCCCAATCTCCAGGATTTATTGGGTCCCACCTTCGACAAACTTATGAACATTCTGATATGAAATGTTGGAAAAACAATTGGAAATGGTCATCAACGTGTTTAATTTTATTTTTATGCTTACTAAAAAGTTGAGTTAAGTTTATTTAAACAAGTCATACATAAATTTATATGTTGCAACCTCAAAAAATTATTAATCTAAGTGTAAATATCAGTTTCAACATAATTTTTACTCAATCATGGATAACATCTAGTTAAGAAGTTAATAGATCAAGATCACAAATAAATTAGTCAGTTAAAGTCAATTTAACTAAACAAAAATCAACTAGAAAAAAGTTGTGTTGGGTTAAAACCAAAAGAAATCAAGGTTAGATGTATTTGTATTTAATTGGAAAACAAAAATATAATAAAACTAAAAATAGAAAAAATAAAAATATATGTGCTATCGTTCTTTTTCTACTTCTCTTCTATTTTCGAACGATGTCCAAATAACCTCTTTATTAACTTTCTGAAATGAGGCCATTTTGATGTATTCTAGGATTTAGTAATAGTAAATACTATTATCTTTCTTAGTACCTTGTTATTTCAAATACTTAGTACTAAACGTGTCATAAATGTTGATTTATAGTGTTTATCGCGATCAGCAATTTCTCATAATTCTCTACTTTGAATGCTAGCAAGCGTCCCAGAATGGACACATTAATTTTTCAATCTACTCTTTATTAAAGTTTTTACACACTGCTAGGTCTATTATATTTTCCAACTGACATAAAAGAAATTAAAAAAAATTAGTCTAAGATTGATATGCTTATTTAATTTTGTATCGTACATTTTTCTCTATTTTTCTCATCAACTTAAATTGATAATCTATTTATAAGAGAAATGTTTTTTTTTCCTCACTCTATTTGCTATTTTCCTTTGCCCTGTTATAACAATGATAAAAATGTGAGACTGAGCATGTAAATCAATAGTCCATTTTCTATGTTTTGTTAATAAAATGTAGTTCTTCAGATTATGATCGATGAAAAAAGTTTAAAATGAACTTTTCATTTCTATTTCAAGTTTGTTGAACACGTTCTTTTGCATATGACATAAAAGCATGCTGAAAAAGAATGTAAACAAGAAATTTTGGGGGGGGGGGGGGGGGGGGGGGGGGGGGGATAATTACCAGGTTGGTACTTGATCGTCGCTTTTATGTTTTGCATATAGCCCCAATTTGCTTTACATAAAAATAAAATTTTCAGTAGATTTTGATAAAAAAAAATTTAATATAATGTACGATTGAAAAGTTATGAATTCTGTAAAGTCTGTGGCAAAAATTTAATTATTGAATTTTGACTTAAATTTTTTAATTAAATTTTATATTGAATAAAAAGTATACAATTAATCTTAATAACATATTTTATAAAATTCACAACTTTTTAATCACATATTTTATCAGCTTATTCAAAATTTACTAAAAATTTAATTTTAATCCCATCAAACATGAGCATAATTGTATCTCTTGTACATAAGTAGTGTTTAAAATTAAATAATATAACAAGTAAAATAGTAATTTCTATTTCTTTTTCAATAACGATAGTACTGTCAAATTCTAACCCATAGTAACGTCCCCGCGCGTTTTCTTAACATTTTCCTATTTTCACACACAGACACACGCAAGCTGGCATTCCTTTTGCTGTACAAATATAACGCATAAAGCATAAACTTTATCTTAGACCCTTCGAGCTTGTTTACAAGATGGGTTTGAAGATTTCGTTTGTGCTCTCTCTGCTTTTTCTACACAGTTCCTTTTCTTGCATCTGCCCCTTTGGAAGGTAGTAGCTCAAAAATCTTGTCTAGTTTACTCAAGTAATCAGAACAGTCCCCCACAAGGTCTATAATGTTGCATTCACTGTAGGAGAAGCAAAGAATAACTGCCACAGATCAACGATGGTCAAAGCATTTGCTGCTAAAGGAACAGTGAAAACTCCCTTCAAATCTGAAGGAACAAGAAATTTCAAGACCTTCAATTTCCAGTTCAAAGCAATCTTGTACAGGACCAGATTAACTTTCTTTAGCTCCTTCTACCACACCAGGACCAACAACTACGGGACTCATTTTGGTCCTGTCCTCGATGAAGTTATGGTTTTCCCTGCTGCTTAGATTTCAATCTATCTGCATCAAGCTCGAAGAAGGCATGTGCTGACGAGTATTATGGAATTATAGCAATGGTCATTTGTCATTTTTTTTAATGTAGGTTAAGCATAATGAGGCGCCCTACATTCTGATGTGTGGGAAGTACTAAGTATTTGCTGTTTTTTGTTTGCATCGTGTACCCTTCAGTTGTTATCTTGTTGGCTCAAATACATGGTACACAGAAAATATTTTGATAACTGATATATTATTAATCTGGCCGAGTCATTCTGATAATGCTAAGTTAGGCTTCATCTTAAAATGCACTTTAACGTGATAGCAAAGTGGGATTCCCATTCAAGTCTCAAAATTACTCATTTATGGAAATTCTTCGAGTCTGGTGAAAATAAATTTGGTCTACACGTAGAGGAGGTTGTTGGTCTTATAATCGAATTTACAAAGAATTTATGTCAACCGTTTTCAAAAATTAAATTAACACGAAGAATTTTGCCCCCAAATGTCCGAATTTAAGCTTTAGCCTATTCACCCATTGAGCATCTACAAGTAGATTATGCTCAAATTCACTATGAAATCACCAAGTAGTACAAATGTATAAGATTTCTTTAGATTTGTCTCGCCTCTCTTTCAAACACAAAGATAAAGTAATCCATACAATTTTCTCTCTCTGATCATTTACCAAAAACAATTAGAATCAAACGTTCAAGAGATTTACAGAGAAAGACATCAATATGATAGAAAAAGAACAAGACGAGAAAACCTTAAAAGTTTCAAAAACTCGATCGATATGAAGGGTAGAGAGAGGGTATATATATATATTTGAAATGTAACCACAAATCTAATTACTACAATAGGTCAACATTTATCACAATTAAAAAATAGGAATAGAATTACCAATTATATGTAACTTATTTAGACTTTAATATATTTGGCATTGCTTATCCGAATTAATTTTGGTAGTCTTCTAAGACTTGATTAATTTCAAACAGACCCAAGTAATTTGGTAACATTCAAATTTACCCAATAGTTTTTATGAAGTTCTTCAATTGAGAGATTAACAATTATGTAACATCACTGTTTTCAAGGATGGACAATTTTTGATATACAATAATATATATAAAGATATGCTGTTAGGGAACATCTCCAAAAATGCACAATTCTTTGTACGGAGATGATCAATTGTAGGAAGAACACCAATTTCTGCAATAGACGAAAGCTGAGGACCTCATTTAACCTCGAATGTTAGTAGGTTGACTTGGCTTTGCACAATATTATCATATGACCAAAAAGTCACTAGGTCCTTACAATCATCACTTTTCAAAATTTTCAAGTTGCATGAATGCATTGTTAATTGAAGTCATACCAACTATATTCTTCAATTTTAAATTGGTTAGGGTGGTTAAATTGTGCATACCATTTAACACCTCTTCACTACACCCTTCTACTTATAGTTCACAAATAGAAATAACAATTTTGGAATCTTTATCAATTTGGGAGGTTCTTTTATGCAATACATCTCTAGGAATTTAATTTCCCCATTCACTTCAAGTGTTAATCCAAGCCATTCCTCCCATTTTGGCATGTCCTCAAAAGTCAAAGTCTCCAGTGATTTGGATAGTAATTCCCCACAACACATATTTCCATAAAATTCCTCTATAATTACTTTAATTTGATTCTTGCTCAAGTCTTTACACAAGGGTAGATACTCTAGTGTTGGTAAAGAGATGCACTTTTTACAATATCGGAGCCAATCTTCAAAATTGGGTTACTCCAATTATACTAACAAATGAGTTCAGTTACACATCATTTAAGTAATAAGCAAATTGAGTGAAGAGATATCCATCGTAGGGTTAGATAGATTTCCTTGAAAATTGTGCCCAAAACACCAGAATCACCAGCCTGAGACGATCCACGAAGTTTGGTGCCGCTAACTTGAACCAGTGATGCTTCAACTCGCACCACCACCTTACACCGACAGTGCTTGTACTCGTCTCTGCAGTCCAACTTCAGTTTCGCATGACATTTTATCTACAACTCTGATTTGCAACCCATCTTTTTGCGTTAGACTCCAGATTGGATGATCTTTCCCATAATATATTATATGCCAAATGGAAATTCATGTATCTTCCCATGCTGCTCTCCAAATTGCTCCTCCTTCGGTGTTTAACACTAATTTTTGCTCCATTATTCGCCAACGTGTTTTCGAAGCTCGGGACCACCCCTAAGACATAAAAAATGACAAAAATCAACAGATACTCGAGCAATATATATAGGTTATGTACACTTATCAACAACATTGGCTTCAACTGACAATAAATGTTCCTGATATTGCTCGACGCTTAAAGAAAAAAAGTGTCACTAGATGATGGTTCACCGTGCTGCCCTCTCTTGCTAACTCGTGTAATAACAGAAACAATGTTTCTGTCAAATCGGATGTAAACAGCAAGCCATGAAATCCAGCGTATATCGCTAAACAGGATCCAAAGTAGCCAACTGGAGCTCACAACGAAAGATATACAAAGCGCGATGTGGATCACTGAGTTGTTAGTTGGGCCATTCATGAAACCCAGTACAGAGGAGTACAAGCTCTCAAATCATTCTGTAGACCAACATTCAGATTTATTGATCAGTATAAATAACATGAGAACACAAATGTTACTAGTTTGTTTGATATATAGTACTAGATATGAAGGGATGAGAATATCATCCAAAACTGCTCAATTTGCCTTATCAAATATGTTATACAAGTTTAAGTAGGAAAGGGATGCAATTCCCTTGCCTTGAACACCTGAAGAAGCAAGAAACAAATCCATACAATTAGTAGCACCAGAATTTTCTTGATGTTTAGGTTGTCCCTCATAATTTGCTGAAAAGAATAAGAATAATGTTTCCACATTAATAAATAGAAGACAGAAAATAGTAAAGTAAGGTACATGGTTTACCGAAGCCGTTTTCTCCTCTTTCCGGACCAATGGTTTAGACTCCACATCAATTAGAACTGATATAGAAAAAGAGAGGGTCAATTCTTTTTCCTAAAAAAAAAGGGGGAAAAGAAAAAATTCTTGCTGTACGAAAAATAGCATACATTTCTTATGTACTTACTTTCTCCATTAGTGTTAGCAAACATTTATTGTCCCTCTGCCTGACTTTTTACAATTACAGGAACCAAAGGGAAGATGCAAACAATACTTTGCAGCATGAGTGGCCATAAATTTGAGGAACCAATCTTCAAAATAGTCTCTTCTTTCCACATCTCAATTACCTTAAAAAGGGAGCTTGAAGAAGTCCCTATTGCCATATGAACATAGTAGTTTAGATTAAAAGTACTTCCTTCTCAATCATTCGAGAAACCGTAAATTCGAGTAGTAACACTGCATACCGATGAACAGAATAATGATTAAGACAGTAATGAGCTATGAGCCTCCAATCAATCTGTGAATCTCAGACTTGTTTGGCAATGGACGGCCAGACAGTAATCAGGTGTTCATAAGAGGATTAGAATTTTCACTTTTGCTTCTCTTTTCAACGGATATAGCAAGTTTTTGCATCTAGATGAGCATGGAGCTTCTGATGATGAAAAGACTGCCCAAAAATCAAGAAACGATAATAAGTATTGCAAATAAACTTATCAACTAATAAACCTCACAGAGATAGTGCATAAATTGTATGTTTTTCCATCTAGTTCCTTCTTAATATGTGTTTCCTACTAAAGAGAGAAAAATAATAATGATTGCTTTCTGTAGCAAAGTAATTTTTTAGGTGATTGAACATGGTATTAAAGCATATAAATATCTTTTGTTCTAGTCTAGCCTCCTTAAAACTATACGTGCCACATCTTTGAAAAAAAAATAAAAATATTTGCCTGCACCTAAACACGTGCCCTGAAGGTATGTAGATAAAATAAATATATTTCCGCACCTTTCTAACAGCTTAAAGTTTGAAATAAGATATTTCAAAAGTTTCTATCAAATTTAATCCAAGGTTTTGATGTAAAAAGGAACGATGGATTATAACCAGACCACTATATGAGTAAGAAAACTGACGATCTATCAAACTTATATTATTATGATTCTGCAGAAGAGAAAGATGAAGAAAGGAACGGTGAAAATGGGAAGTTACACATGCAGCAACTTGGAAGACGAATTAAGATGAACAAGAAGGAAAATAATAAAATGCATGAGGAACCTAACTGGAAAACAGAGTTTGAACAGAATTTTATGACAACGTAGGGAAAAGGAAATGGATTAAGTGAAACATTTATGAGTGATTATAGCTAGCTAAGTAGGCTATGTCACAGTCATTCATTTAACAAAGCAAATAATGAATAATTGAACTTGACAAGCTTGGAGTTGGAGTTCTAGATAAAAGCCTCAAAACAATTTAAAAGTGAAATGTTTCTCATTAAAAGCATATCGAATTTATTATCCAATAAATTGGAAATAAAACAACGTGTCATGTATAATTATCAATTACTAATTCATCATTATATGATAAATATGCATTTTTCTGAAAAATTAGCAAATAATTTGCTCAAGAAATTGCAGTTACTATACTAACCGGTGATATAATTTATTCTGGAGAGTCGAAATTGTGCTGTTTATTTCAGCAAATTGAATCTGTTACTTGAGGGTTTCATGGACGTTGATCTGGATCATGGACGGAACAGCCATCAATTCGAACGACGGGAATGTCAGCGATGATTTTCCAGTAGTCTCCTTTGTTCTTCAAACACCGTTTTTTAAGAAGCGGGCACTCTTCAATATGAAGACTCCAAAGCCTGTCAAGCTGGTCTTCCATAGGCAACGCCACAAGTTTTTGACAGCGGTAGATGTATAAATGCCGAAGTGATGTGAGGTTTTGGAAGTCCTTTGATAGACTTTCTAGATTGGGCAGGTCAGACAACGTCAATATCCTTATAGATGGAGGAAGCAAATGGTTGTTATCATCATCATTGTCGTCATTAGAGAAGGAAACCAGCTCTGGATAGCAACGACGCAATTTGAACATTTCAAGAGAGGTGATTTTGTGTAAGCCCCACCCCCCCAGGGGTTTTAGATTCCCACAATTATAGAATGAAAGAACCGTCATATTTGGAGGAAATTTCCTTTGAGGAAAGGGCTCTACTAATAAAGGACAACGCGATACTGACAGCTTTTCAAGGGATGAAATTAGTTCCATCCGATCAGGTAAGGACTTCAATTGTTGACAATCATCTATGTGAAGAATTTTTAAATTGGGAGTGGGCAAGCCTCCAGGGGGAAACGACTCCAGACCATCACAAGAATATATACGTAGCCAATGAAGACTTGTGTAATTGTGAACTGATCCCAGTAAATTTGTCAAATTAAAATTCACCCTCTTTTCGACCAAAAGAAATTCAAGTGAGGTGTTGCAATCCTGTAGCTTCATCATGGTTTTCAATGAGGAACAATTCCTGATTTCTAATTTTTTTAGACAAGATATGCTATTGGGAACAAGCTCTAGAGATTCACATTTCTGTATGCAAAGGTCTCTAAGAACTGGAAGAGCATCAATGTCTCTAAGGGTCAAGAGCTTAGGACACATGTTAACAAATAGCCGTCGTAGGTTGACTAGGCTTTGAGCAATACGATCACTTGGCCATAGAGTCTCAAGGTCGTTACAATCACGAACTTCCAAATTTTCAAGTGCAAAAGGAAACTGCATAAATGCTTTTGAAACTGAAGTCAATCTGAAAATTTTTTCCAAATTTAATTGGGTTAAAGATTCCAAATTGTGCATGTGACTTAGCACCACCTCATTACACGCTTTCACTTGTAGTTCACGAAGGGATGGCAATGAGAGAATTGGTAACTTGACCAATTTTGGACATTGTCGTATGCACAATTTAGAGAGCTGAGGAAATCTGATAACACCTTCTACTTCATGTGTTAATCCAAGCCATTCCTCCCAATCTGGCATGTCCTCAATAGTCAGCCTCTCTAGCGTTGGAAAAGGGCCCTTATCTCCATAAAATTCAGCTCCTATCACTTTTACTCGATCCATCCCTTCAATGCTCAATTCACAAAGGGATGGCAGTGAGGGAATTGGCAACTTGACCAATTTGGGACATCGTCGTATGTACAATTTAGAGAGCTGAGGAAATCTGACAATACCTTCTACTTCATGTGTTAATCCAAGCCATTCCTCCCAATCTGGCATGTTCTCAATAGTCAGCCTCTCTAGCGCAGGAAAAGGGCCTTTATCTCCATAAAATTCAGCTCCTATCACTTTTACTCGATCCATCCCTTTAATGCTCAATTCACAAAGGGATGGCAGTGAGGGAATCGGTAACTTGACCAATTTGGGACATCGTCGCATGCACAATTTAGAGAGCTGAGGAAATCTGACACCACCTTCTACTTCATGTGTTAATCCAAGCCATTCCTCCCAATCTGGCATGTCCTCAAAAGTCAGCCTCTCTAGCGCTGGAAAAGAGCCTTTATCTCCATAAAATTCAGCTCCTATCACTTTTACTCGACCCATCTCTGCAATGCTCAATTCTCTTAGCGAAGGTAGTTGCCCTAATGATGGTAAAGTCGTGCAATTTCCACAATGGAAGCTTATCTTTTCCAACTTACTGAATGATAAATCTCCAATCCAATTAGGGAATTTTGAACCTCCATAAAAAACAATTTTAAGACTTTTCAAGTTATAATGAGGCTCTAAAGCATTAAGCACATCGAGTTCTAGAATTTCATTTCGGGAATCACCAAGCTTGCCACTCCATGCCAACCTTACCTTGGTAAGGCTTGGATTATACCTTAGCCTAGCATCAATTGCTTCCTGAACATTTACCACATTTTGCAATTCCTCAATAGAAATTTTACCTTGTAGAAGTGATAGATTCCTCAAATCCTTTAACCTCCCACTACTTTTGCTCACAATCATCTTGGGTAATGTCTGCAAACTTTTTAGTTGAGCGATTCCTTGAGGCATCTCATTTAATTCATCAGTACCAGCAATGTCCAGATAGAAAAGATTAATGAGGTTTTCCATGCTGGCAGGTAATTTTGTAAGTCTGTAGCATCCTCTTAGAATCAACACTTGTAAATTGATAAGGTTGCTCACAGATTCAGGCAAGCACTTCAATAAAGTTTCAGCTAGGTCTAGGTACCGTAGATGTTTTAAATCACCAATAGAATTTGGCAACTCATATATCGTATAACCACTTAATGATAGAACTCTTAAGCAGTGCAATTTCGGCAATATTTCAAGCGAAACTTTGTGGGGAAATAAACTTTCAGGATACCACTGCTGAATGGGTAAGGGTAAAAATGTTCTTAAGCTTCGAACTTTCTTCAGAAAATTAAATCTTTGGTACATTTCATATTCATGGGGAATGAATGACAAGTGACGGACATTTTCAGATATACTGCTGGGAAGATTTTCCTTCAACTCATCGTCCATCCTCAAACATTTTTCTCCATCAACAAATGTAGCTAGATCATTAAGGAGATCATGCATCACATAATATGAAGCATTGGCACTTGATCTTTGGAAGAATGATCTCGCAAACAGTTCGTCGAAATATTTACTGCCTACTTGTGTTAGCATCTCTCTTTGTGATACTTGCAAAAAACCTTCTGCTATCCAAAGGTACACTAGCTTGGACTTGTCAAACTCGAAGTCTTTAGGAAACAGAGCACAATAAGCAAAGCATCTTTTCAGTTGTGGACGCAGATATTGGTAACTCAGTTTTAAAGAAGGAAGAATTTTACTTTTGTCTTCTGCCATCCAATTCTCACTATTCAATACATCCTCCCATTCATTAGGACTACCCATTGTCCGCAGAAGCCCTCCAAGTGCCTTTAGTGCCAGTGGCAAGTTTCCACATTTTTCCACCACGGCCTTACCAATATCTCTTAGATCTGGACGTGCATCAAAAGTTTTGGCTTCAAGTGCATGTTGAGCTAACAATGATAAAGCATCAGTACTCGACAACACATTCAAATCATAAGCTGGACTATGAGACATGATTTTCGCCACCGAATGCTGACGAGTTGTAACGATGATTTTGCTTCCAGGTTTACTAGCCAGGAATGGACGCTTCAGGATGTCCCAATCTTCATAATATTCGTTCCAAACGTCATCTAAAACTAATAGAAATTTCTCGTTTGACAGATTTTGCTTTAGTTTCACCTGAAGCATGTTCAAATCATCATCGTTATAACTTCCAGGGGAAACCTGTTTAAGAATGGTTTTTGTAACCATTATAGCATTAAACTGATCTGAAACGCAAGCCCACGCCTTCAGATCAAATACATCCTTTAATCTGTCATCATTGTACACAAGTTGTGCAAGAGTTGTTTTGCCGACACCTCCCATGCCCACTATTGGAAGCACAGATATTGGACTATCACTTGATTCTCCCCCCAATAACATATTGAGTATATTCTCTCTGTCCATTTCCCTGCCATATACTTCAGATTCTTCAACAACTGAAGTCAGATCCAATCTTTCTGTTGTTCTGTAAGGCCTTTCGCTCACATTCTTGACCAATTCGAGTGTACTAATCTCTTTCATTAGAGTTTCCAATTGACAACTAATATCTTTCAGCTTGGAAGCCATCCCGCGATCAGACATAAAATCATGGAAAGAGAAATTAGTACAACAAGAGGGAATAAGCTTTCGTACCATACTAGTGCTTGGCCTGTTGGCTTCGTGATTTTCCTTCATTTTGCGCCGGGTAGCTTCAGTGTTCAACTCATCCACTAAGTCATCCAGATCATAAGCCAAATCCTCCAAATCCTTCAGCCACTCCTTCACAGCTTCGTTTGATGTTTGTTTGTTTTCAGCATCAGTAAGCACTGCTTTCATCATCAACAATTTCTTATGCCATTCTTTCAGCAGGGAGTCGATTCCTACACCATGCAGGAATTTCATTAGGTCGCCGGAGACCAACTTCTCAAGCAAAACAGTAATTAGTGCGCCAATAAAAACTTCTCCGATAGCCATTGTTATCTTTTTCTTAAGAAAGGAAACAATAGATGAAAGATCAAATGAAAGATAGTTTAACTTCTTGAGTAGAAATGAAAGGAAATTTTCAAGTTGTGGTGGTCGTTTCACAAACTGAGAAAGCTATCTACAAGTGCTGACAATGGTGGGGTCAATTATCAATTCACGTGGAGACAATAATTGATCGGAGAAAAAAGCACAGGTATTGGTTTCTTTGTTGCTTCCTCTGTCATTTTCTTTCCTTCTTTCTTTTTTTCATTTTTTTTTCCTTCCTCTCTTTCTTTTGATTTTATATCTAAAAAAAATAAAAATGCAATTACCTGTCGGCCCCATTATTTCTCTTTAATTTTCATTTTTCAATCCAAATATCACATGATATTTTATCATTGAACAGTTTAAAATACAGTTAATTTTTCCATCTAATCTTTCTTCTACATGCAATTATGTCAATCTTTCGATCAAAATTTTCTGTCAAAATAGTTTTATTCATAAATTTCATCCAGTTGTCGACAATCAAATGGATCATTAGGCCCTCTTTCTTGGATGAAAAATGACACAAACGGGGGCAATAATGAAAATTTGTATTTATAGTGGTGGGGGCACAAAGAATTGAACATCAATCACTACCTGAGGTGGGAACCGTGTTTGTTGAACAAATGGGCACCTTAACATGAGAAATAATGAGAATTAATAGCAAATAATTGTGATCAATCCAGTCTTTAGCCAAAATTTAATTGAATCACTCAACCTTTTACACAGGCGATGAAATCAGTAAGAGCAAGCAAGGTAATATTTTATTATTTTTATTTTTCTTTAGTACTTTGTTTGATGAAGTTTTGATAAAATTTGTCGACTTTTTAACCGATTAAATTTTAGTTTTAAACAAATATTCCATCTAATCCATAACTTTAATTTTTATCAACTTTTTAATGACATATTACATTAATTTTTAATCAAAATCTACTAAAAATTTTCTTAAAAGTTTTGTGAAAATAAAAAACCCTTAAAGGGGTGGGGGACCACCAAGGAAGATTCATGATTTTCCTATTAGTATTATATTTTCTATTATATATCTATGTAAATTACAGCACATATAATGCAAAGCTTTTGAAAGAGTTTTTTTTTTTTATTTTCTATTGAAATTAAGCCCTATTTAGTTTAACTAAAATTAATTTTGATAAATTTTGACATAAGTTGATCAAATGTATAGTTGAAAAATTGATCAAAAGTGTGAATTCCTTAAAATAAGTGATTAAAATTAATCGTCGATTTTGTGTTTGTTTGGTAGGGATTTTGATAATTGATTTTTTGACCATTAGAGATAAAATGAGTCCTATCTATGAGATAAGAATTCAAAAATGACGGCTGAAATAGTAAAATAACGGTCAAAAAATTAATTTTAATTGGCTTGAAATCTATACCAAACAAGCATTTTAACTTAAATTTTCATTAACCTTTTTAAATTAACCAGAAAGGAGCAAAGTATTTTATTCATATCCTCTATTTAGACATGGTGTAGAATATAGATTTTAATTTGGACTTTGGTAATAAAGGCGAATGGCATCACTACGCAAATTTAGAAGAAACCAAACCATTGGTCCGGCGTCAATACCTCACACTGTAGGATTGAAATCTAAAGTGTAAATCAATAATAGTGGTGATAATGGTGGGATCAATTATCAGTAATCAATAATGGTGGTGATAATGGTGGGGTCAATTATCAACAATCAATCGGAGAAAAAAGCACGTGTTGTTTTCTTTGTTGCTTCCTCCTATCATTTCTTGATTTTTTTTATTTTTTTTGGTCAATAGAAATAATAACAACTTTACATGTAGATATAAATTAATGTGATCAATCCAACCTTTAGCCAAAATTTAATTCAATCATTCAACTTAATTTTATTACAAGTAGTAAGTGTTCGCAATTCAAATACTACAGTCTTATATAACAATTGAACTCGTAAACTTAATGTCACGCTTTATTTGATTAGAATATTAAAATTTGTTAATTGAAATTGAAACATAAATATTAAACTCGTATTTGGCAACAATATATATTAATTTATTTCTCATGCTCATTTTCAATCACACATTCGCACAATAAAGCGTCCATTTGGCCCCCATTATTCTCTATAATAATGAGAATTTGATTTTAAAATAATAACTTTTTAGAGAATATGCGATTAAAAATGAAGAAAAAATTTCGAGTTTATGTATAATATTATGGATTATGCTATATGTACACCCCCTCACAAATTATTAAACATCAATCACTATAGGAGGTGGGAACCGCGTGTGTTGAAAAAGTTGGCATCTTAACATGAGAACTAATAGCAAATAATTGTGATCAATCCAGCCTTTAGCCAAAATTTAATTGAATCACTCAACTCTTTACATAGGCGATAAAGGCAGTAAGAGCAAGCAAGGTAAGGGTTTGGGAGAGGTTGTAATATTTTATTATTTTTATTTTTCTTTAGTTCTTTGTTTGATGAAGTTTTGATAAAATTTGTCAACTTTTTAACTAGTTAAATTTTAGTTTTAAACAAACATTTCATTCAATCTATAACTTTATTTTTTTTATCAACTTTTTAACAACATATTACGTTAATTTTGAATCAAAATCTACTAAAAATTTTCTTAAATTTTTTGTAAAAATAAAAAAACCCCTTAAAGGGGTGGGAGAGCACCAAGGACGATTCATGATTTTCCTGATGGTATTATATTTTTTATTATATATCTATGTAAATTACAGCATATATAATGCAAAGCTTTTGAAAGAGTCTTTATTTTCTAATGAAATCAAGCTCTATTTAATTTAACTAAAAATTATTTTTCATAAATTTTGACATAAGTTGATAAAATGTATAGTTGAAAAATCGATCAAAATTGTGAATCCCTTAAAATATGTTATTAAAATTAATCGTTGATTTTAAGTTAAATTTTTATTAGCCTTTTTAACTTAACCAGAAATGAGCAAAGTATTTTATCCATATCCTCTATTTAAACATGGTGTAGAATATAGATTTTAATTTGGACTTTGGATAGAAAGGTTAGTCAGTATGCAAATTTAGAAGAAACCAAACCAAACCATTGGTTCGGGTCAACACCTCACATGGTAGGATTGAAATCTAAAGAGTAAATCAATAATGGCCGTGATAATGATGGGATCAATTATCAATAATCAGTAACGGTGGGGTCAATTATCAATAATGGTGGGGTCAACTATCAACAATCAATCGGAGAAAAAAGCACATGCGTTGGTTTCTTTGTTGCTTCCTCTTATCAATTCTGGTTTTTTTTTTCTTTTTTTTTTTAATAAAAATAATAATAACTTTAAGTGTAGATATAAATTAATGTGATCAATCTAACGTTTGGCCAAAATTTAATTCAATCATTCAACTTAATTTTATTACTTCTAATAAGTGTTCGTTGCAATTCAAACACTACAATCTTATATAACAGTTGAACTCATAATCTTGAAGTTATGCTTTACTTGATTAGAATATTTGATTGAGTTAAAATTCGTTAATTGAATTTGGAACATAAATATCAGACTCGTATTTGGCAACAAAATATATTAATTTATTTCTTATACTCATATTCAATTACACATTCACACAATAAAACATCCATTTGACCCCCATTATTCTCTCATAATAATGAGAATTTGATTTTAAAATAATAATTTTTATAGAATATGTGATTAAAAATAAAGAAAAAGTTCCAAGTTTAATTATTAATATTATGGATTATGCTGTGCGTACACTTTTACGCTGACACCCCCTCACATGGAGGGGGTGTAAAGCATTGTGTACGTCGGAGGTGTACACGTAATATAAACCTAAAATTATTTTACTGGAGAATATGTGGTTAATAAGAAGAGGAAAAAAATGAATTATAATTTAATAGAGGCAAAACGAGTAGAAAATATTATATACATAAACTCAAAATTTTCTCCAACCCCACGCATTTTTCAAAAAATGCTATTCAAATCTATGTTTTTTCAAATTTTAAGACCACCAAACCATGGCCAAAGTATATTTGTGACCAACTTTGCATATGAACAATATATTTTGGTAAAATATGTGCTATCAAAATTTATAAATTTTATAACAATTGTCAATCTCGTTAACATAATTACTACGTAACTCAGAATTAATTTACTTGATTTGAAATGACCCTAATAAAAGTTTTTTGATTTGAAGTCTCCAAATATTTGTCGTGTGTATGTCTTTTGTTGAGTCATGTCGTATCAAACTAAAATTTTTGAAATCTCAAAATCAAGAGAATTTGATTGGAGTCCCAAGTGCTCAAATTGATAATTTTAGAATACTGCAATTGCAATTTCCCTATAACTTATCCCACCAAAAAAAGAACTCACACATCAACAAATTCTACCTTGCAAAACACGTAAATCTTCTCGATGTCAATATTGAAAAAGAAAAAAATTAAATAGTTATTCAATTGTGTTCCTAGGCAAGCTGTTTAATGGAATACTGGTTGAAAACAATTTATAGTTGATAATGAAAAGCCTTTCTTCTATGCTAATTCTTAAGTGGAGAACTGACTAAAGCAAAAATCTCCATAACTTATCCTGCAAACTAAGCACAATCAGGAACTAGTCAGAAACATAAAAATGTCAAAAAATGAATAAATAAATAAAAATTAAGCTAATAAATTGAACTCGAATAGAGGTAAATATCAGAAATGTTTAGAGCAACACAGAAAGCCATCTACAAATGTTGATAATGATGGGGTCAATTATCAATTCACGAAAAAAGCACGAGTGTTGGTTTCTTCGATGCTTCCTCTATCATTTTTTTTTAATTTTAATTTTTAAAATTATTACTTTATTTGGATTTCATTAAAATTATAATCTATTTTTTTATTGTTTTCTCTATCACACATTCTTTGATAAAATAATACTATACGTAAATAAAAAAAATTCCTTCTTTTTTAACCGTACATTTTCCAAAAAGTAATTATTTCAAAATATATTTTTCTCAAAAATTTATTAAAGTAGAGCGCAAACTATCAATACAAGCTTCAGCCAAAATTTAATTGAATCACTCAACTTAATTTATTGCAACTAGTCAGTGTTTGTCACACAAACAATACAATCTTATATAAAGTTGAACTAATGGACTCGATGTCACACTTCAATTGATTAGAATTTCTTT